GGCTTCACTGAGTTATGCAAGCCCCTTCGCCACGACAAGGCAGTGATCCATGAAGGGGAATGTGACTTTAGTATTACATATTATTCAGTAATTGAATGCAGCATTTCCATTTATATTTTTGTCATACAAACTGCAGGAATCAATGTGATGATCTTGCAGTAATGTATTCTTTTTGAAAAAGCCGGCTGAAATATGCAAAAGGAGAAGGAAAGGACATGGAGAGTAATGCTGAACCATATAATGTCTATCTCATATGGTTTTCATAATTAGAAGCCAGCACATATGCAGAGGGGAAACAGTCATAGTTATTAGAGCTGTGTAGCACTTTGGATTTGAAGGCAAAAAGGTGCGGGGGGGGGGGCGATTGAATGTGATAACTATCTGCAACTCCTTAAAGCAGCTATGCCTTTTTCCAGGATTGTCCATCTACCCTCTGCAGCTGCCATATGAGCGTTGCAAAAGACATTTGGTTTTAAAAGTTGAAGAGAGGTTCTACATTCACAATCTTTCACATTTTTTCCATCTGAATCCAAAGCTTACAGCCTGAATAATTACATAGAGATAAAATATTTCTTGTCTCGTATATGCAGTATACTTGTACCACAATAAATAACAATCATTATTCTTCTAATCAGTGGTTGTGGTTACCACTGCTTGTCATAAAACATGCTTCTGCAACTATGAATCCTTTCAGTTGTCTTTCAGGGAAAAAAATCCTCAATGCTGGGTTGTTTACAACTATGGGTATTGCTATTACAGTCCTTTAAACTCTTCCATGAAAAAGCCAGCTTGCAGCTAATTGCAGGTGTATCCTCACTCTATCATGGAGATTCATTTTGGTGGGAATCCTGCAAAGCCAAGAAATTCCACAAATATTTAATTTCAGTGCTCTTTCTTAGTCTTGTGAGGTACCAAATACAGGCTGTTGTATGAGTGGCCTAAAGTATCTTATCCATTATGAATTTTTGCTTTTTTGTTCTCATCTGTAATGTTAGTAGGATTCAAGCTCTAATTTAACTAAATGAATCTAAGCAAATAATGGCTAGAACCCTTCTTTCCAGAACAGATGAGTATAATACCATCCAAATAAAAACTTGCATTTTTATTTGATTAACTGCTTTTTTTTTTTCCTGTACAACCTCCTGCCACGCAAACCATATAGTGACTGCACTTCTGTTTGTGGTCACATTCCCATCCGTCATGATAATTTTACTGGAAAATACAGAAGATGAACAAATCCCTTTGCCTTTTTTTTCATAGAGGAGTCATTATGACTCATTTAAGAGAAACTGAAAATAACAATATCTGAGACAGAAAACATTGGTTGTTACCTTGCAAGGCATGGGCTTTCTGAAGGTGATTTCAGCTTGAATCCAGATTCCTCTGGAGGTTTCTGAGACAGACCAGATTTTTTCTTGAACGATATGGTTCTCTTCAAATATATAAACAGCCAGAGAATCTCTCATTTTGAAAAAGCCATACAGAGCATAATAAAATCTCAGACAATATTGTAAGTTTTCTGGCAGAGTGGGACTGTATAAGCGGCCAATATATCCAGGTTGTGATGTAAACTTTGTATTTGCCAGCAAATAGAAACCTGTAATGCAATACAATGTTTAAATCATTCCAAGCAATTTGCTTCTCTTAGGATGTTTCTAGGCATTTTATTGGAATTTCCACTGGCAAGTCTGCAAGCTAGGGCTGCTATATAAGACCATGTCTCTAAAGATCTATTTCATATAAAAATATTTTAAATAATACAAATTTATTATTTGTATTATTTTAGTTGCACTTTGCCAATTTCTAGTTGTTACTAGAGATTAATACATGTTATCTTTACAGTGAAAATACTTTTTTTCCAGCCTGAAAGACTGATTTTGTTCCGAAGCCATCTTTCCCTAACTACAGGAATGATGCTAGGTCACATAATTTAATTTTCCTCCCCCAGTTTTTCAGTGGGCAGACCATTAAAAGCAAACAAACAAAAGTCTCTTGTCTGAAACACACTCTTAGATCTTCAGACATACACAGCAATTTTGCTCAGAACATATTATAACATACAATTAGACATCAATATATGTATATGGGTCTGCCTGAACTTGTTTAATATAATGTTGCTATGTTATTTATCATATTAATTATTAATTATTAATGACTTAGATTGGAAATGAGCAATTTGCCACAATTGTATTTTTAATAGAAAAGCTATTTTGGAGATGAACCAGAACCTCAAACGTTGAAGCTTGGCTAGCAGCTGTTCTCTCATATAGCAGGCTCAAATCATTTTTGCCTCCTCCCTATTTTGTCAGCATCTGATCACTGCTAATGGGGGTGGGGGGGAGACCCTATGTGTGAAAACTTTTTAAAATGAGATCTTATTTTTGACATTTCTGAAATAATACTTCATCTAAATTTATGTGAAGCTGGGAATAGGTGATCCAGGTTTCTTAATGTAAGCACAGTTACATGTATCACTGCAGTTCTTTGTATAATCTGAAGTCACCTGTAATTCTTTCTCATAACAAAGCAGAACAACTGGATGAATCCAAGATTCCTGCTTCACTTAAGTATTTTGTTTAAGGCTCTTTCTTTAAGACTCTCATAACAAGATTTTTTTTCACAGCTGCAGTGGCTTGAGCCTGTCAAAAAAACCACTGGAACTTCCAGATTTCCCCAAAACTTTGTGGGATTAGGGTTGAATTCAGCAACATTGAAAACATTAATTTGCCCATTCTACACATCTTCCAATAAAAAAGAATTTTAACTTACCCATGCCAGTAGTGTGATCACCCAGTCTATATGCATTAGGCTTCACTTTTACCCTGCTCCAGCCAGGGCCATCCTTGTGATCTTGATAAAAATGGCAAAAATCCTCTTCAAAAGTACAAGTTGCCTGTATGGAACTGAAGGAAATGCCTGAGGAATACAGATCAATAGAAGAAAAATGAATCTGCATACTTGCAAGAGAAGGCTGATAAATATTAGCAAAACCAGTAGGATGGAATCAAACTGTTTGTCCATTAATAGCAGTTATGGGTAGTAACACTGAATAAGACATATCAAAAAAAGGATTAAAGATTCCCACAGAGCCAAAAGATTTCCTTCCCACCTACATGTTCACACATAAATACAAGGCCAGGAAAGGAAATATCTCTGATAATCCTATTTTCAGTGAAAATAACTTGCATTCTTGAGTGGAAGTAATTTGTATCAAATAAAAAAGAAGGTTGGATAATATAACCATGGAGAATGTATAATCAGTCTTTATTCAGTATCTGTTATTATCTCAGGTTTCCACCAGTAATGTTCAGTTGTTTAAAAAAGCAGTACAATATCAAATTGTTTTCAAATGCATCTTTCCTTTACATATGCATTTGGTGCACAACTTGTTCATTTATTTTTGTACTCAACATTCATAATTTGTGAGGTGAAAAATAGTTTGTTCATAATTTCTGAGCTGAAAACACTTTATGAATTATATATCTGTTTATCCTGTGACGGGTTCTACTTTGTGAATTGCATCATTTTGCTTTAAAAGATACCCGTGACAGATTTCTTCAACATCTTAGCTCAATTACAGTAAGAAGATGGGGCAGAGCAGAGCTCCCTTAAACCTATGACAATCTACATATACAATGGTACCTCTAGTTATGAACGCCCCTCCTTACGAATTTTTCGAGATACAA